CGGACAAAAGGTTCAAAGGTGATGGATATCCTGGACTACTGACCTCGCTGCTGCATCAGCAAGTGACAAGGGGCCAAATCAAGGAGAGACAGCAAGACTGCCCGAATTTCAATTGCAGTTCCGTCACACTGTCTGCAAGCAGGAGCAAGACAAGCAAGTCCCAGCCTTTGAGATTCTGCGTCAAAGTGGTGCTGGCAAAGTCCTGGCTTGAGGCTTCCGTTTAGGTTTCTTTATTTTTTGTCGGCCCTTTTCCGATCCGCCAGATAGAAAGAAGGGTTTGGGGTTCAGGGCTTTCCCGACTGATTCCTAGGCCCTTCCTAGAGCCCCCATACAACCCTTCTATCCGAGGCCCCTGGTGGATAGAACCCTTCTAGCCTTCACTTTGTTAAGCATACAGAGAACGCTTGTAGGACCCTTATACAGTAAGCCCCATAAAGTTGGAGACAGGACTAAGGCCAAATAGTGCTGGGATTTCCTAAACATTACTCTTAAGGACTGGGGCTATTGGGTTTCCAACTTTTGGGCTTCTTCTGTAGATCACAAAGACGTCGAAACGTGTCAACTTGTTGAGGAAACTCTTCCAGCACCTTTGATCATAGGACCCCAGCTTATGGAACCCGAGGCCCTTAGGCTGGGCTCTTGTCAGGGATTTAATTCAAGATGCCACAATGAGGAAACCATATTATTTACGATAGATCCCGATCATGTTTTATCTTAAATGAATCCCCGTAACAAGAACCCAGCTAGGGCCTTGCCGCCGCCGGAGATGGCTTCAGCAGCTTGCGGGGCCCAGGGTGCCGCCGCGGCCACGAGGATGGCTGGAAAGGTCGCATATTGGCCCAGAGATCCTAATACCCCTTAATTAAGGAATATACCTTAAAATATAGTAGGATCCCTAATCTGATTTAAGGTATATTCCTTAATTAAGGGGTATTGGCTTCTCTGGGGGGTTTCCGTTTTGACACTTGGTACACTTCTCGATTTGAGCGTGTCATCCTTGCGCAGGGGCCATGCTAATCTTCTCTGTATCGTTCCGTTTAGGGTTTCGGATCTCGTTACAGGTGGTTCGTAAGAGTGATAATGATAGCAAGATTATCGAGTATAACCGATATAAGTAATTATGGTAACATTAAGCGTAATAAATATGTTGCTAAAGATGGCTAGCGATAATGATACAAATCGTAATCGTCTTGAAGCAGACATACAATACATTAGCAACATGTCTTCGCGTGAGAATGTGGTGTCCCAAAGAAACGTTTCCTCCCCTAGAAAAGTCATTGCCGCTTCCAAACTATTGATGGTAGTCACCATCATCGCAATGATGTGAATATTATATACTAGTAGTCGCAAGGTTAACTTGCAATTCCTGGGAGGGTCGGGGGAAGCATTCAGAAAGCATGCAGTACACGGATAAGGCTGGACGAACTGTCGATGGCCCCAGCCGGGGGATGGGGGGGGTGGGGGCATTCATGAGGGGACCACAAGTCTTTTGGGGGCCTTTCTCCATACACTCCATTACGTGATGATTCGTGCTGGAAGCTGCAACTACAAGGACAATCTTCTTGGGCATTGGCCCATGGTGTCGCCGGTAATCAGGGTCCTTCCGGATCACGAACGAAAAGCTCTACGCCTAATGCAAGCGACTATATAGGTGTAGGGACTACAAGGGAATACATTCCCAACTATCTAGAATCCCATATAGATTAGGACTCAGATGACTCTGCCGTGGACATCAGCAACCCCCTTGCCCCCCAAATCTACTCTACCCCAAACCCCTTTTTGCACCAGGACTTGTGCAATCGCCTGAATACATGGACCCCAAACCCCTAAACCCTGGATCAAAAGACCGTGCTACCCTCTGCAACCCGCTAATAACTCCAAAACTCTTAAATCTCAAGCCCTACTGCCCAAAGCTCCATAACTACAACCAGACTCAATGTAACCCTTTCGGCGCTGCCTCGGCGGGGAAGGGCGAAGCCGGGTGATCCGAAATAGAAAGCCAGGGGCCCCAGCAGTGTCAACAGAAGACACCTCCGGGACTTTCCTTTGCCTTTCTAATTTTTTGAGCTGTTGCTTAACTTTGCTGATATCTGATGCCCTTTTCTTCATACTTTGTTGCAAAAGTTTGTGAAGGTTGCATGTCTCTTATAAAAGAAGGTTTCCTTTGAACACTTTTTTTTTTTGTTTTAAATGCTCTTTTCCGTCTGCAGGTGGGTACGACCTGCGGCAGCCTACTTGGTTGCTTCTGACGTTTGAAGGTGTAACTGAGGCTGCGTGCCATATTTCTTGAACAGGGTTGTTAGGGCTCGAGCACCTCCAGGGCCTCTTCCTGTCAGAGCTTGCGAATGACAGGATTGTCTGAGCCCAGCAAAGCTAAAACGGTTGGGCTGTTCAGCTTCTAAGCCTTACTGACGGGCTGTAGTAAGTTTTGCCTAAAGTCTGGTGACACGTTTGCTATGGTTCACTGTTCTTCCAGGCCTCAGGGATTATTTTCATGTTTTGCACCGGTTCAGGGACCTCGAGGGTTCAGTTTCTTTACAGCACAGGGATCTTAGAAGTGGATTAAACAAGGAGTTACTGGGGTTTGGTATGGTTTGGTCTTATATAGTGTTTGTGGGCTGATAGAAGCAGCGGTCAGCAGCTATCAGCATCATAGCTTTCAGAATATCACCAGTGCAGCAAAGCAACATGTTAAAGGTTCACAACAAATGCGATAACGGTAACTTTTGCGAAGCTTTGCGTAGGATTGGCATTCGTGCAGCGGTTGTTTAGAATGCTGCACATATCCTTCCGGGCTTCCTCACAGCAGAGCTTCCCCTACAAATCCTTCTACCGTCTACTGAGCACGTGAAGCCATTAATAGATCAACTTGCTCCAGCGATGATGCTGTGGGTACTACGGCTATATTTATCTTTATATCCTTGCCTTTCCTCATGATGTTTGTGCGATATGGTTTACATGCTGGCAAGATTAGTGCAGTCATCGATGTCACGATACTTCGCAGCAGTTGCATGCTATGCAAGATATTGCAGTCAGCCCCTGCCAAACCCCTTACATAAGCCCAAAACAGCCTAAACCGATTCAGCCCCATACCCTAGGCCTCCTTCGCTGATGCTTGGCTTGGCCGGTCATCGGCACTCCGTGGCTCACCGCAGCGGCAGTTGCTCTGAGCCGCAGCGCTCCCGGTGGTTTAAGGTTTAGGGGTTTAAGGTTCAGGATAGGTTTAGGTTTTGACATGCACAATTGCATTAGATGCCCATTTGCTGCCGCCGGAAGAGTGCCGTTTGCAAGTTATGGCCTCTTGCGTTTCAAAATTTCGCAAGACGAAAGCCATTGGGCTTGTTCCTTTGGCAGAGGAAGTGTGAGGTGGCCCGGCCATGCAGCTTCAGATGTGCAGCATCGGGGAGGGTGAAGGAGCATCGGACTTTTGTGTGAACGCCTGCCGGCAAGCAACTGCGACTGAAACAGTTGCGAACAGGCCCTGCTCTTCGCAGTGGGTGATACTCTTCTTTTTCTCGGGCATGATTTGTTGAAGATTTGGTTCTGCCCACTAAAGCGGCTTGCCGCCGTGGCGCTAAGAAGTCGAGCCAACCCTATGTAAGACTTTTTCGCGACGACCTCGAGATGTGACGTCAGCAGCGACCTGAAGCCGAGCAGACATGGAAAGTCTGGAGCTGCTCGGCCCTGTCTCTTAGGGTTCAGGGTTTAGGGTTTTGGGTTTAGGTCATTGCTGCCCTTGCTGCTGCCACTGCAGTCTCGGCTGCCTCCTTCTTCTTTCGGTCTTTATCGTCCCTCGCGGCAGACTCTGCATCCTCTTCAAAGTGTGCCATGTTCATAGTCCAGAGCTCGTCCTATCACCCGGAACTTGCGTGCATCCTCTGCACACTGAAGTTCTGAGGGTCCCTCTGCGAACTGCTTTCCAATCCTTGGAGGAGCTCTGGTGCTTCTGGAGTATCAAGCTGCACAGCTTCCGGCGCCACATCCAGCAAACCATATCAGTGACAGCATTGCAGCCGCTGCACCTCCGCCCTCCTTTCCGCAGCATCGGATTCGGTCTGTAAGAGACGCTCCTTCGTCGTTGCATGCTCAGCTGCTTCTGCCTCCGAACGATTTGCAAGCTCCTCACAACGCTCCTGGCACCTGCCGTGCTCTTCCTGCAATAGTCCGAACTTGCGCCGCATCTCCGCTGCAGCTGACTCCGCAGCTGCAGTGCGAGCTGCGAGCTGTTCGCGCTGCTCTTTGAGATCTGCACTCTCGCTCTGCGCAGTTCGGAGCTCCGCATCCTTGCTGGATACCTGCGCTTCCGCCGCAGCCAGGCGATTGCGCAGCTCTCGACCCTCCTCCTGCGACCTCTGGAGCTCCGCTTCGAGGCCTCGAGCCTTTGTTGCTTGGTTTCTGCCTCCAAACGATTTGCAAGCTCCTGCAAGCACTTGCCATGCTCCTCCTGTGACTGCCCGAGCTCCTTCTGCGTCTTTGCCACCGCTTACTCCGCAGCTGCCGTTCGAGTTGCGAGCTCTTCGCACCGCTCCTTGCACTTGGCGCTCTCGCTCTGCACAGTTTGGAGCTCGGCATCCTTGCTGGACACCTCCGCCTCAGCAGCAGCCAGGCTTGCTCGGCGTCATCACAGGCCGTACCATTCGTTGGACTTGTTGAAGGTGGTTACGCTAAAGTGCCAGTATCTCGCAGACTTGGTGGGGTTCCAGGTGGTATCGGTGGAGTGCCAACATCTCGCCGACTTCTTCCACGTTGACCCTCGCATCGTCTTTGATCGACGTCAAGGTGGAAAAGCAACTGCATCACTGAGGCATCCCTTGACGATGCCCATGGCAGGAAGCACTCTAAATTTACTTCTGCTGGGGTTCCCCAGAATCACTTGTGCCAAGCCACGGCGGCACAGGATGGCATGCTGACCGGCATCCATCTGGAGTGCCCGTTTCCCGACAATGCACATGGCCTTAAGTCATCATGCCAAGGCTGGTGACGCAGAGTCAAACTCTAGCCTCCTTCAGCATCTCGTCCGTGAACCGCCTGTCCATGTGAACGGAGGGCTTCAGATCCTTCCCCTGCTGGCTCGGGTTCGGGTGGTGTCACCTCGAGAGACCTTAGCCTCAACAGCCGTAGGGCAGCTCAGGCCGGTGCCTTAACCTAAGAGTGATACTACTAATCATAATACTATATTACACTGAATTATGACCGTAATACTCATTATTAAGCTACACCAATACTAAAACTATACTCATTATATTAGACTACACCAATACTAAGACTATAGTATCTTGAAATCTGGTCCAAGTTCAGCCTGGGGCCGTATAGCCGTCTGTTGTAGTTGGATGACGCAGGGGGCCACGTCTTCACATTTTGTCTTCAACAACTACCCAGTGGTTTGGGAGGTTGCATTGGCTCTTCAGCTCCTTATCTAATAGGGATTATCATCATCCCTGGCTCCTTAGCTCCTCCAATATTAATGGTTAGACAACATATTACACGTAAAGTCGGCTCTGCAGAACATGGTTTCTTGAACACATGGAAGTGTTCCTGGACAGTTCGGTCGGTGACCTGCCGTTCGTGATTTGGCAGAGAGCGGCAGCGAGCGACTTCTCAGACAGTACCATGGGGTGCCGCTGAAGGCATTGGAGGCTCATCATTGCGTAGGCTGCCTACGGCTGCAGCAAGCAGCAGCGTGGCTAGTGATGACCGGGACTTTTGAGGCTTCAGAAAAACCTGAAAAGAGAGAAGGCAGTTCGAGAATATTGCCAGCCTGCGTTGCTCCGCCGTGGGCAGTGTGTCGAGACCTTGGAATTGTATGGAGGTAGGACCGTAGGACTATTGCCTTCTTAAAGCAGTGCTGGCTGAGTGTCTTTATCAGACTTTTGATCTTTTGCAAGCCTACAAAACTTGATGCCGGCCAACCAGGAGCCTGCAGCAGCTGACCATTCTGTTCTTGCCGTTCGATGGTGATCAACACTTTCGCATTCAATCCCTTCTGCAAGGAGGGATGGCTTTGGGATCGGAATGATGCAAGACTGCAAGACTAATGCAGGACCGAACAGCATCTCCGCGACAGCTTGCTGGGTGTCAAACGCATCAGGCCAGCGTTTATGCAGCCGTAGACGCCGTAGTCGCTGTTGTAGAAAGCCTGTGACATGCCCAGAGACTCCATAACCCCTCATTTAAGGAATATACTTTAAGTCATGATAGGATCCCTAATATGATTTAAGATACATTTCTTAATTAAGGGGTTATGGAGTCCAACGCAACCCAACACTCTAATATGGGGTCTTAATGAGCCCAAAACCCTATTCTAATTATTCCGGCCTAATGCTAAATCCTTATTACAGCCCTTATAGTAAACCTTGTAGACCCCCTTAAAGCGACCCCCATTCTAACTATTAAGGCCTGTACTTGGAGGGTCAGGGGACTTAGTAACTGGTTATATTAGGGACTTATAAGTACCATAACCCCAATTACGGTCCCTTTTAGGGTACTTATAAGTCTACTTACTACCTACTTACTAAGTCCCCCGACTCTCCTAGTATATTAACCGCTCAGCCGAGTGAAGAGCGCCAAGCCTCGGCTGGGATCTCCTGGCCATGCGCCGCTTGGTCACGGTTCCTTGAAGTGGGAGTTTCCGTTAAAAGTAGGGGGGGGGTACCTTATAGGGTTCCTGTAAAGGGCTCTATAGGGGTTCAGAGTTTCCGAAAATTAGAGGGTACCGTATTTTGGGGTCCTTGTAATAAGGATCCTACGGTTTACACTACTATATTAGGGTCCCTATTTTCGGAAACTCCCAAGTGGGTTCAGGGTTCTGGGGGTTAGGGTGAGCTTCTGAATTCTCTGTGGCTTGGTCTGACTTGGTCTGGCTTCCGAGCAGATACGAGCGAAAGTGAGATTGTCAGGACGGCCGAAGCTCAAGCAGCAGCAAGAGCAGTTCCGGGTTTCTGTTGGGGTAAGGCTTTCCACCTCAAAAGACTGTGGGAACAGTAATTTTTGCCTCGCAGCTCGAGGGTTTGCGCATAGTCACAACTATATATAACTAAAGCATTGGAGCCCTTTTTGTAGTCCTATTTTCCTTATTAAGTTACCCAATACCAAAAAGGAAGCAAGACTGCAAGATCGGGGCATTAGGAGCCCGTGCCAGTGGCCGTGGTACATGCCCGCCGGCGCCGCGACCTGCAGGCGTACAGTGGCGATACGCTCTCACATGTTTTTCCCACCCAGAACGTGAGCATGTCATGCCGGCAACATGGAGAGAAACAATCACGTCTATGCAATAAACTATTCCAGATGTACAACAAAGACTAACTCCACTTTCAGTATTTGAAGAAACTCAAGCGAATCGCGCACTGGCGGCAGGGACAACGACGCTCGAAGGGGTAAGAGGCCGTGCTGCCTGCTTGGAAAGCCGGACGGTTTGCGCTGATAACGTCTTGGCCTTCTGAACTTCTGGGTGCATTCCTGCACTGGTTTGCGCTGATCATCTTGAGATTTCGTGAAAGGTAATTCTTTTGATCCACTGGGGCCGGGGCTTCCGACACAAGGCTCGGCGGCCTCAGAGCCGTTTGAAGTCGAGTCTTCAAGATCACCCAGCCACTCGCTCACCCAGTCACTCAGTCACTTGCTACACTCACTCAGCCTTGGGGTCAGTCCATGGCCGAGGTATGCCATCCACGATCGAGCCGCCCACAGCACGACTGGGCTACTTACCACGCAACAGGTGCTCAGCCCGCCTGGAATAGCTCTTTGGGCGAGGAGCGGATCTGAGCAACAAGTCGCGCTTTAGGCTTTGGTTGTCAACAGTCCAAGGTTCAGAGGCTGAAACGGGCTTCGAGGTTGTTCGGGTGAAGTGTGGTCCCTTGCAGTCCCTTGCATGCTTCACTGTCCACAGTACGACGAAGCGTTAACCCGGGTGGAAGTGTGTGTGATTCTCATGAAACATGTTGCAGCAGACTCGCAGGTGGCCACCATCAGAAGGCTTGCTCCCGACTGCTTGCTGACTGCTTCCCAAACTTCGGCTACGCGAGGCCAAAACTCAACAGCCGAGGAATTTCTCAAGTCTCACATCTTGTGGCCACAAGCTTGCGCCACTTGTCAATCATCCGAAGTTTTGAAGCTCCCGGCAATGATGTCCAGGTCGAAGAAGAGCAGCTTCCTGTAGGGGACCTCCGAGCAGACAAACAGCCGTGGCTTCATCAGTTCGACAAGCGTACACGCTCTCTCTGACTGTTGGTGACTTAAGAAGCCTAAATCGTAAGCACTAGCTCAGTTTCGTCTCGCCTGATTTCAACGACGACCCTGTCGTGACTAGAGGTCATGGTTGATCCAAGCTGAAGCTTTGTCAGCAAGACGTCTGTCGAGGAGAATGACTCAACTTGTCCCAGCTTGTCACACTCTTCAGGCCCTGCTCGGGACAAACAAAATGACTCGACGCACTCGGCCTGGAAGGCTCTGAGCTTCGTGAAGACGTAGCGGTGCCGCCTGCGGGGTGCTGTGAGGGTGTTTCGATTCACATGCTTGAGAGTACGGATAATGGTGAGCCCAAACCCATGATTCGTGCTTTACTACGTGGTGGGTCCAACTGCTGCCCGCAGATTGGGGCGACACGGCATGAATGCAGAGCCTTCATCCGTGGAAAAGAAGTGCGCAAACCTTCCACTTCTCGCCGTGGTTGCTGACTTCAGCGGGTTACTGTCTAGCCTCTCAAAGTGAACTGTGCTGAACATGCTCGCATGGAACTGCGAGATTTCGAAATGCTTTCGGACATGGCCGCATGTGCACAAACAAAGGGGCTAGGGCTCCGGCTTCCGCCGCGTCTTGTCCTCACAGGCAGTGCTCTTTTAGACGGAGCACATCCCACCCCTCTTCTGAAACTTATCAACGGAGAAGAATCACTGAATAAGAATGTGCGCAGTAGTAACCCGCAGCCCCAAAACGGGCAATCTCTTGCATGCCCATCAAAACGTATCACATGAAGATATATGACGTATCACAGCATCTCTTCAGGTTTCGAGGTACCATAGTGGCCTTAATAATTAGAATAGGTTTTTGGGGCCAATTAAACTATGCTTTTACTAAGGAAGCCCTCAAACAGTATAGGTAATTATTAAGGCCCCTACAGTACACTTCAGACCAGCCAACGGCGACTCTGCGAGGGAAAGCGTCTGAAAGTCCACCGAGTGCCGCACCGCGGCTTCCTGGTCGACAAGATCGACCTCCGCCACCTTTTGAGGTCCGGCGGAGAGTTAGGGTTTAGGGCGGTTTAGGGTTTAGGATATCCGACTCTTGTCCCCCCCCCCACTCGGTCGGTCCACTGGCCTTCCAAACGGCATCCAGGCACTTGCGGTCATCGCCTCGACACCGGCAGCAGGTAACAGCAAATCATCTGATGTTCTTGTCGTGCCGGGCCGCGAAAAACAAATCTTACGGGTACCGGAAACAAGTCATAGTACTTCCTTCAAGCCTTTCTTGTCATGTCGGGCCGAACCACGATGCTTGGATGTTGCTTCTGTTGAATAAATATTGAGGGTCTTTATCAAACTAGGTAAGGTGCACAATCAGAAACAAACGCCTCGTGTTGCACAATGCATAAACCCTCTGCAGTTCCTGTCTGAAGCAGCCCCCAGATGCTCACCAGGTGGCTTCCGACTCAAAATGCTCCGAAAAGGAGGCAGCAATACATACATACATACATGCATGCATGCATGCATACATACATACACTACGCAGGTACCAAATCGGGAGTGGTGTTTAGGTAGCTCGTTTGCAGCCCAAAGCCTAACGGCCCTTTCCTTCAAGCCTTCAGCTGAACACAAGTAATATAGGGGCCGCTGTAACTAGAGTAGGGTTCCCTTTAAAGGGATCCTGTAAGGGGTTCTATAAGGGATCTATAGTAGGGTTCTATAGTAATTTTCGGGGCCATAATAATCATACCAGAGGTTTGAGGGCTCCTTATTGCAATTCTAGTACAAGATACCCCAGACCCTCTTCCTTAGTTGCTGAGTTCGTCGGCAGCAAAAGTTTAAACTTACAGTTCTATAGAGGATAAATAAAGTGTGCTCAGTCAGCTACTGAGATTCTAACTGAGGCCCCTAAGTATGGGAGTTTCCGAAAATGGGGGACCCTAATATTGTACCCTACATAGTAGGATCCTTATTATAAGGACCCCCAAAATAAGGTACCCCCTACTTTTCGGAAACTCCCACATAACCCAAGGCGCGAGCCCTGTACGAAGGGCGACGTCTGGTCGGGCCTGGCAGGCCGATGAGTCAGAAAAAGCAAGGTCCTGGAAACCTAAACCGGTGTTTTAGGGTCTAGCTTCTTTTTTTCGGCACTTATTTCCGTTTAGGGTTTAGGGTTTAGGGCTTGCACCATCCCTAACCCTCCCTAGTGCTACTTTTGACACGCGAAGGTTCTTTCTCCCACTTCCAGGACCTGGTTGTCTGCCGCCTGTTGCCTCACCTTCTTCAGAACCCGACTCCTTGCACACTATCGTTGATGGCAGCATTTCCTGTCTTGCACGTCTGTTTGGCATCGACCGTCACTACGAATGTCGGAAGTCTGTCCATCCGAGGGCAGGGCGCTTCCTTGCCCACCAGCCTGCGGACGACTTCGGGGCCAAACCTTTAAAGGGGTCTATAAGGGCTACTGCAAGGGCTCTGTAAGTCTATAAGGGTACTATATGTAATGTAGTACTATTAAGATTTCGACGAGCACATGGATGGTCTGTACTTAGCTGCTCAAGAGGCTTATTCTGGCCGCCTAGAGGCCAGGGAGAGGGCAATGCCTGCAACTCCGTCCCCTCAAGATCCAGCAATCCTGACAGTACCCGTAATGGGGTACACTGCGACGGCTTGAAGGTTGCAGTGCAGGTCTTTAAGTCGACTGTAGGTCCTTTAGGTGCAAGGGCCATATGATTGGGGTCTACAAGCAACCATATCTTTAGTCGGTTTAGGTGTCTCGTTCGTAGCTTTGCTCTGAACCAAGAATGAATGCTCTGCACCTGGCCTTTTGAATCTTGCTTGGCAGAGAAAACGCCGCTACATCTGGCCTATACCCGAAACCCAACCCACCCCCCTCCGCCCCGACAGACACACACGCACACATACCATAGAGGCCGAAAGTAACTACCCACTATTATTTTGGGGGCTTCGTATTACAATGGGTCTCAAAGGGCCCCAAAACTCTATTCTAATTGTTAAGGCCCCTATACCATAGAACTATGGATTCCTTATCGACCACTTCTAGGACCCTTTAAAGGAGCCCTATGCTCATAATCAAGGCCCCTACATAAGACACCAAGCCAAGGCCCCCACAGCACCCTTGGGGTGGAAGCATCCACCTGCTTCAATCTGAAGCCCAGCCTCAGAGACATACGGGGCAGGCACAAGTGCACAAACCACCGAATGCCTCTGCCTAATGCAGGTGTCTTTATAATTTGAATACGGTTTTGGGGTATGTACTACTACATTTATAATAATGAACCCCAAAATTGTTTAGGCAACTAGTAAGGCCCCTATATTCATCCCAAGACCCAAGAAGCAGCAACAGCGCTGGAAACATTTCCTTTCACATTAACGAAAGAAGGCTCTGGCATGGTTGCAGGAGGCTTCTCTTGGGTCGACGTGGTCTTATACAGGTTTCATGGGTGCTTGCAAGAGGTTAGTTCGGTCCGGGCATAAGCATGTATAGCTATGGTTATCGGTTATCACCCCATGAAATGAACCTTCCCCAAACCCTAAACCCTAAAGCCTAAACCCTAAATCCTAACAAACCCCGTGCTAAGTAAAGTCTTTCCCATGGACCCCCGACCGAGGAATCATCGCACCCTCAAGGTGTGTCACTGGGCCCGAAGCCGATGTACCAAGGACAGCGAGTCGGCTCTTTTCAAACGGAGCTGCAGAGGTAGTAATGGCACAAAGATAAAATCGATACTAATTGATCATGAAAAGTATAACAAAAACAATAACAAACATTCCCCATACTCCGAACCGCAACGTTTTTTTCGGCCTCCGCGGGCTCTCGGCATCTGTGGGCATAAGCTGAGCTAAGCCAGATGGGCCCTTCCTTCGCGGCGCTGGGCCCTGTGCTTTCCAGGGGTTCGCGACCCTCGCCTTGCATCTTTACAGAGGTTTTGTTGAGTTTTGGGGGTTCCTAGTTCCTACTACAGGGATGTACAGGATCTTTGTGGGCTTTGCACGCTATATTTATTCCGTAAGAACAAATCAAAGACCCGCCAGTAACGGCCCAGGCATCTTTAGATTGGTAGGCTAGGCCTAGGCTTCACGCATTGGCAGCAGACGGAACTCTTGCCGGTGTCTTCTCTGCTACCCTCTACACTGAAGCTACAGGGTCTGTTGAAAGCAGTGCATGGCGGTGTCCTCTCCGGATAGAGGTCCGTCCGCACCATGTCCCGAGGGAGGCCCGATATTCCGCGAAGCTGCGCGAAGCGTCGACCAAAGGCCACCATCGCTTTGTAGAGCTCTCGATTAATCACAGTAGGTGACCTTCGATGCTCTTTGCCGCAGCTCACTTTCTAGAAACGTTCAGCACGAACCTTCGGTTCGTGAATTGTTGGGGCCTGTCATGTCGGGTGTGGTGAAATAGGATGGCAAGAAAACCCAAACATGTCTCTTCAAGAAGTGCAAGGACAGAAAGAACAGACTTCTCAAGCTCTGCATGCGTCGGACACCACACCCAGCTTAGACCCATTGCTCTTTAAGGCTTTCACAAGCCCTTCTTCTCGGGAACCTGTTCCTCCGGTCACTAAGCAATTTAAAATACACTCGCTTAGGTCCGGTGGCAACCAATCGCTTTCCAGCGCAATATCGGCAAGGGGTACTGGCCTTGATCAGCTGCCTGTTGGGGGGAAGAATTATTCCTGCCCTTGCGCTCTAAAAGGAACCGGCCGCCATCTTCGCACATCACACTCCATGTGCCAGCCATGCTCCGCATGATGCCTTCAATTGGGACATGTTCCCCTTCCAAGACGACACGAACCAGAATTGAAACCGTGTTGGAGATCTGTGCATGCCGGGCACCACAGGCTCGTCACTAATGGCACGCGAAGCTCTTTAGCTTCTCAAATCCGCGGCTGTGCATAACAGGGGGGTGTCTTGCTGACTTGGTCCGTGCGATTCTGCTAAGACCTAAGGCTCATGTCGAGCTGGCTTCCCAGTTATGACTTCAAGCACGGTCGGACGCCTGCTGTGCTCGCCGGTCGCCGGCCTCTCAGTGGCATGGAAAGTCTCCCTCTCCCTCCCGGATGTTTGGGCTGCTCCCGGCGCCCCCAGGTGCAATTCGAGTCGGATGACGAAGGTGTATGGGGTAGCAACTGTGTAGACTGAACAGGAAAGAGTGAAACCACGGGATCCCAACGCGTGCGCAACATCCCACTGCCACTCTCCCCCGAAAGCAGCAAACGTGTTCCAAACCATGTCCGATCCTTCGCGGTCCCAGACCCCCGGGAGGATCCAAAAAGTAGATCCCGTAAAATGGGGGTTCCTATATAGCACCCTTAGTAGTATAGGGCCCCTAATTAGGGGATCTACTTTCTAGATCCTCCAAAGGGGGTCTGGGGTTGCAATCCCTGACACGGCCCTCGGGAGATCAGCACATACTGTCCGGCCCGACACCAAGTCCAAGGTTTACCTGTATCCCCAAACCCTACAAAATAGTAGGTTATGACCCCTTAACTAGAGGGTAGAACCCTTAAAACGGTAGGTTTTCGGATCCCAAGGTAGGGCTATCGATAGTTGCAGGATACAGGTGATATAGATGTGTGCCCGCCTAATTTTGTGAGACGACCACGAAAGCATTCGCTGCAGCGAAGCTTGCGGAAGAATGGAGGCTTCCTGAGACATCCCGATTGCTGTAGGACACGATAAATTGAATGGGGTTGTGGGATATATTGCCACACTTACACTATACATATGAACCTATATGCGTAAAAGTATGTATTCTTCTCGCACTGTTGGTTGCCGCTTCCATGCTTTCAGGTTGTTCGTTTGCAGCAGCATACAAAAGCTGTCCACAGACAAGAGTGTCGAAACCAATCTCTGCTTTACCAGCAAAACAAACAGTGCCAAATTCCAGCTCCAGCTTCTGCAGGATAGGCGCGAGTGAACCGGCAGCCAGGCTTGCACCGGCGCTGGAGAGACCGCGCGTGGGCGAAGCGGAAGGGAGGCCAGCGCATGCGTCACTGGCACGGCATGAATGGTCCTGCACATCCGCGCAACGAGTCAAGCCGGGAGGTGCAAGGGCTGCGATATTGCGTGAGCCATGTCCCCACTACATGGGAGTTTCCGAAAATTAGGGGTACCTTACTATGGGGTCCTCATATTAGGGTCCCCTATTTTCGGAAACTCCCACATGAGGAGGGTGAGTGGCGGGCCCGGGGTCCTGTGCGAAGCGGAGGGTGACCTCACAGCCGCTGGAAGCGCTGGCCCGGTAGCCGTCGGAGGCGACTTGGGCAGCTGCATGGGGCTCTTCGGGGAGTGTGGCGGGGCTCCTGAGGCACCTTAGTTGCTGAGTTCACAAGCCCCCCAAAAGTGCACACTTTCAGTTTTATAGTGGGCAATATTATTCCCAAAAAGTGTAAAGCGTATCCACTCAGCTACCAAGGCACAGATGCCCGCAGAGAACCAAGGAGCCGGAGCCTTTCCTGGGCCCACAGGCAAGGCTTCCACGCCACGCTGCTCACAGCGTGGCGAAAGCAGCGCCGCTGCTGTGGCGATGGAAGGCGGCATCGTGCGCATCAACTTAGTTCCCAAAGTGTTCCCTTACGAACTGCGGTGTTCTGTGTATGAGAAGGTAGTTGCTGCTATCACCATATTGAATCCCAGGTGCCTGTGGGGAGTGCGTGAAGGAAAGCCGCCGCGATGCCGGGATTCCAGCAACGAAGCGTTCGGACGTAGAGGACAGCCGTTGCGCTCCAGCTGGAACTGCCTTACCCCAGACCCCCGGAAGGTTCCAAAAAGTAGATCCCTTAATGGGGGTTCCTATATAGTACCCTTAGTAGTATAGGGCCCCGAATTAGGGGATCTACTTTCTAGATCCTCCCGGGGGTCTGGGACTCGAATGATGACAATGTGGAAGCATGGGATCCCGATGTGGAAGTTTCCGAAAAGAGGGGACCCCAATATAGTACCCTAAACAGTAGGGTCCTTGTGTTATGAGGACCCCAAAAAAGTACCCCTAACTTTCGGAAACTCTAAACCCTTATAGAGCCCTTTAAGGGAACCCTTATGGTACCCTTATTTAAATATATAGTAACCTTAACGGAACTCTACAGTACCCCTAATTTTCGGTTCACACTAAGCTGCGGTGGCAGTTGGGCTCACCGTCTTCAGCTTGGCCTCCCCCAACTGGGCTTCTCTTCTGGGCACCTGCGACACAGCTGGACTGTCCCATATACTTTTATCTAGTATAGTATAACAAAGTATAGCAAAATATAGTACAGTATAATAAATAATATGATATACAGTGTAGTATAATATTACAGCCAGCCGTTTGCTCGCATGGCAATCAGACCTGCGAACGACGATGCCAAGCCAAGCCCTTGGGTTCCTTGCAAGCCGGCCTCCGTGGAAATCTTGCACGGGACCGGCTTCTGCAGCTGAGACGCAAGCTGAGCCATTGGACCTGCCGTGACATCACAGCTGACGATGTTAGAAAAAAACCCTGCCGACGTAGCGAGGGTGCAGCAGCCCCCGCATTCAAGGAGGGTGACATTCCTCGTGCAGGTTTCAGCACTCACAACCTCCTGCAGTGAGAAGGCGCCGGTCAGCATAACAGAACGCTGTCTCTGCAAGTCAGAAGATGCGAAAACCACGGCTCACAACTTCAAAGCTGAGCGTTGAAGACACTTGAGCCATGAGCCCGGCCAAGGTGGAATGGTCAAACTACTTGCGGCTAGCACGTGGTATCACTTCTTCAGAATGGAATGCTTGCTACCAATCGGTCGTCTTTTGGGCTGCGAATTGAGGCCATCCACTGTGTCCCTGACTATCAGCGGTTCTATGCCACAGTTCGCTGAGCGTCCTTTTGTTCGTTTTCGTCGATTGATTTCCTTGGTTCCGCTCGCAGTTGTGCACCTTCTGGTGCTCCATGATTTTGTCCGTCCTCTGTCCCCCTCGCTTCCTTGCTGCGTTTTCCTTTCAGTCTTTCTGTCCTTCCATTCCTGACTTCCTCTCTTGCTCGTTTTGCTCCCACGTTCTGTTCTTGCTCCTTGCTCTGGTCACCTCAACGACGAGAACCAAGCCCCTCAAAGAAAGAAAGCACCTTCTGTAACTCACATATTTTACATACACACATACATGCGTATGTGTATACATGTATGTAATACCTGTATGTGCGTACATAT